TTGAGAAGATCAGCTGAGTTCAGCCCCATCAAGTAGGCTGACTTGTCAGCATCTGCAGAGCATCAAGAAAATAAGTACTGTCAGATTCCACCTAACCTGGTGACCCCAAGACCTATGTCATCCTGTACCCACTCACCTTCAGTACCATCTGGTTCTGCCTGCTCTTCTCGTTGCTTCTGCTTGAACTTCATGTTGCCAAAGTGCATGATGGCGCCTGTCAGCTTGTAGACACCAGCCTTCTCCTCAGCCGTGAAGCCCAGGACATCAAAAGCGCTCTGGGTGATAGAGAGAAGGCCTTGCCACCAGCTGTGGTCATGGCTCTCTGCTGACCACCATTTGTGTCTCTCTGCCCTTCCAGCTCATCAACTCCTCCATCCATCTGCAGACTCATCCACTCATGGACTCACCCATTATGGATTCACCCATCCATCCATCCATCTGAGGACTACATCTGTCCATTTACCTATCCATGGACTCTTCTAACCATCCATCCATCCATCTATCCATCTATCCATAGACTCATCCCTCCATGGTCTCATCCATTCACCATTAACTCCATTCATGCAACCATGGGCTCATCCATCTGTTTGAGGATTCATTCACCCATGGACACATCTGTCCACCTAAGTACTCACCCACCTGTTTTTTATCTCCATCCACAACCTCCTCCACTCCCTACCTTCTATCTCTCACCCCACATCATCCCACTCCACCAGCCCACCATCTTTCACCCTTCCTATTCTCCACCTCTCATCCCTATGTTCCTCCTCTCCTCTACCCATCCGTCTTCTACTATCTCAACCATCCACCTGGCACTTCACCTTTAATTCATCATGGGCATGTCCACCTGCCCACCCTACCACTTACGTCAGTTGCCAACAGCTCTTCAGAGTCATCAATGGAGGCCACAGTCACCTCTCCTTGGGAGACATAACTGTAGTCATAGGGGTTGTTCGTGATGAGAAGCATCTCTGCTCCGTGGGCCCAGGATAGAGAGAAAAACTGAGCATTTCCACTGGCTAAACAGCCCCAAATCATCCTCAATTGCCCCAGAAAGGAGCACAGAATTGGAGGAGAGGAAGTAGAAGACTCAAGGCCAAGCACCCTACTCACCCAACAGCTCTGGCTTCTTGTTGGAGAGGATCTGGTAAAAGATGTGGTAGTTCCTCTCAGCCTTCAGCTGGAAAATGACACGGGACTTCTCCAGGAGGTCTGAGGTGGATATGGAGAGAAGGAGGATAGAGGTTGGGGTGAGATGGATTGAGATATGGAGAGATGGATGGTGGGATGAGGAGATGGAGGGAAGAAGAAAGGAAAATGGAAGGTCAGATGGATTATGGGATGAGATGATGGATCCATCAACCATGAAGACAGATGAAGGGATGGACATGGGTGAAGGCAGGCAAGGAGGGAGGGAGGTAGACACAAGGAGGTGGAGGGACAAAGAATTGGAGATGGAGGGTCAGGCCAGTGGTGGGGTAAGGAGATGGAGATGAAGAGGCGACTGGATGGAGGGAGAAAGGGAGCTATGTGTGGATGAATGGAGCTCCTGGGTGGATGGATGAAGTTCGTGGGTGGATGGAGGAGTCCATACATGGATGAGTCGTAGGATGGATGAATAAATTCATGGATAGATAAGTCTATGGAAGGATAATGGACTACAAGACAGCCTCTCACTGGGCTCTCAACCCACTCACAGGTCTCAATGTCAGCTGATGCCAACTTCCCGGTGGCCCCGAAATGGATCCGGATGAACTTCCCCTGGGAAAGCAGTGGCAGGAGGTGGAGGTGGCTGCCTTCATGCAGAAGATCCCAGACCATAGACGCTGTCCCGCAAACTGCCCCACAGACCCTTCCTCATACAACCCACCCCCATCACTCACAAATCGGGAGGAGTTGTCATTGCGGAGGGTCTTGGCATTGCCGAAGGCTTCCAAGGCAGGGTTGGCCTGGATGATCTGGTCCTCCAGGGTGCCCTGGACGGGGTGGGACAATGCTGGGTGTGGATACCACTGGGGTACACTCTCTGCCAAGGGTACATGGACTGAGGAACTCACCTTGCTGCTATTGGTCACCTCCTTCTTGCGGTCGCCAATGGCAGCAATGCTGGCAAAGTATTGGATGACCCTCTTAGTGTTGACTGTCTTCCCCGCCCCGGATTCTCCGCTGGGGGAGCAACAGTGAGATATTGGATAACATCCTGGTGGGTACTTCATCCCACCCCACTGCTATGGGGTGGGGCTGGATAAAGCAGGGCCTTACGTGATGAGGATGGACTGGTTCTCTCGGTCTGCCAAGAAAAAAGAGGAGTCAGGTGGGATGAAGTTTGGAAACATCTTGGTCTTGGGGTTGAGGCTGAAGTTCTCCATCCTCTCAGGTGAGAACCAGTTCTGAGTCAGGAACCATTTTTTGGAATGGGGTCTTCTAGTTTGAGGTCCTCACAGGACATTCTTACCTGTCAACATGTTCTGGTAGGCATTGTCAGAGATGGAGAA